AAGTAACGGAAAAGTAACGAAAAGTTATTTTCTCAAGTAACGGTAACTGTAACGAGTTACTTTTAAAAATCGGTAACTAGTAACGGTAACTTGTTACTTTTTCTACTCGGTAACGAGTAACTGTAACTTGTTACTTTTAAAAAGTAACTTTCCATTCCCTGCATTTCTTATGATATTTTCTTTCGTATGAATGCTTTTACATCAGGTCGTTTCATGGATTATAGTAAAAGGATATTATTGTCACGATTGTGATATTAATATACATTAGGATAATATATAAAAGACAAATCCGCGAGAAAAAACGTATTACATATTATAATGACAATTGTTGTCTTGGCAATTTAATCGAGAATAAAAATCTTTTTATGTTCAAGAATTAAATTAGTTAGAAAGTTTAATTCTTTGCAACTCAAGCAATAGGCTGGACTTGCAAGAAAGTTAAGCCGGTAATTACGCCTTTGCGTTTAATAAATGAATTATTATTATTATTTTATAAATATTTTTGTTTTATCGATATTGATATTTGGAATCTGTCTCGATGTAGAACATCAAAGATTGAAATCCAATTTGTCACACGCTAGAAGTATCAGAAAGTTACACAAAATTACTGGAGATGTGTCTGTGATACTTCATCTGTATAAGCTTCTTTTTAATCCTTTCATGTCGACGGGAAAGCAGTTTCTTGCGTGTCGCGACCTTTCCACGATCGCTCGTAACGCAGAAGTGGGAAAGTCTTGTGCGACTCTTTGTCGAGTGTGATCACCGTTGCGTGCGCGAGTCACTCGATTATCGGTAAAGTAATTAGAGAAATATAGGTATATAGATACGGTGTAACTTCTCCCTCTCCCCTCCTTGTTGTAACACAATGCGCCGGCTTTTGTTCTATCGACAAACTCAGGATTTGGGTTACGGTGTCAGGATGCGTGGCGCGGCTGTCTCCTTTATTTGACAATCGGTCAAGGGGATAAGGAGATTTAGTTTGTATATCTTCCTGACTATAAGATTGACGCTCGTAATATATCGGTTCCAAAATTTCGTTCTGCGACATTTAGGACCGGTTGTTCTATCTTTTGGTAAATTTTACCTCTGAGGTAAATCTGATAATCCCCGTACATGTGATTGGATAATCTTGCTACTTACCCAACAGATAAAATTTACCAAAAAGTAGAACAATCGGCCCTTAGTCGATTTTTTTCGTAGTGTTGTATAGCGTGTCCGTTGTACGGTTCTATTATCGGGGTGTAACTGGTACGTCGCAATGCCAACAACCCCCGATCGAAGCTCGGCAGTCTGATTCGCCACTGCGTACGTGGTCCAAGATATAAATCCTAAAAATTGCTGCAGCGTGCCGTCAGAGTGCTCACCTATTCCTATTTGCAGCTACAACAGTAACTACGACTTATTTGCCGATTGAGCATCTTTCATATAGGTTTCGCACATTGTAAATGTATATGTATATCTACACTTACGTCTGAAGATTTGGTGCATTGCACAAGTAGTTTTATTTGATCTCGCCGATCGACGAGTAGAAATTTTCTTTTTTTTAACATAATTTCTGTCATCAATCCGTCTATAAAAATATATATATAGCCTTGTGACACTTACACATATACATACATACATTGATGGATTCAGAAACTTATCAAGTTTGTCAAGTCACCTGTCAATCAGATTCACAAACTTAGCCGTTGGCACGTCGCAAGTGAAATTTTTGTTTGAAGTTAAATATGAAAAGATAGAATATTAAATTATTATTTAAATTATTATTGAAAATTTAATTATTGGAAAAGTATTATTTAAATATATATAATTCATAAAATATTTTATTTTAAATTATGTTATATTCATAAATAAAAAATAATAGAATAATCAAATCTACTTTTTTGTATCTAGGAGTTCTTTAAATTAAAAAATATTTTTGGAATATTAAAATTGTGATTAAGCATTTCAAAAATATTAAAAATATATATCTAACATTTTGCTATGAATATTTTTAAAAAAGAAGACTCCAAGGGAAGGGCTATGGCACCCATGGCACCTCCGATCTATTAGTGCATATATACAACATATATATACACATGTTACAATATATATATATATATATAAAATTAGATTATCAAGCATGGCATAAATAAAGATTTAATAATTTTAACGGCTTTATTTTATATTTATGTGACGTAAACAAAAGTCCATAATTAAAGACTCTCGCTTGGTTTTTTTTCTTTCTTTATCTCTCTTTCTCTTTTTGAAAAGGGAATGGATCCACAAACGGGGAAAAAGATCGTACTGATTCTCTAATGAATAGAGAAATAGTTTTGTTTATCCGACTGCGGCTTGCAATATATTTAAAACGTACTGATGTCGCGTCCATTATACAGGCGATGTTTATTTCATCTCTTCATGGTTCATTAATTTCACTTGCATTTTGCGAGAGCTCTTCGTGTAATTAGTCGTCAGATGGACATAAAGAACAAAAGATGCGATTATGGTCGGACAGGTACGAAATAAACGTGACCTTAAATGTAGCTTCGTGTTTTTCAACGGACGATTGCGCTGCAATAACTGTCAACTAACGCTTATAAATTTTATTTTTTTTCCTCCGGCAACGTGACGTGCGTTGCGTTCAAATGGAAAGTTGATAAATAAATACTCTTACCACGCTTTTATATAAAAGCGATTGAGAGCCCATTGCAACAACAATGTAAATTTTCTTGAATGGTTTGATCCGGTAAGTGGTTTGGTTTTAATAATTTGCTACTCTCTTTCTTTATTTATTAGTTCATTATTCTAATTATGATATATACAGAAAGAAAAAATAAACAAAGATTTACGTCATTCCCTTTAAAGAGTATTACAAAAGTATTTTATTTAAATTTTTAATAGTTTGTATTCTTTTCTTGAATAAATTTTATGAAAAATAGAGAAAAGAATTTCCCTAATTGAAATTAAATATTAATGCACCGACATTTGATCCGAATCTTTGTAAGAATATTGTAGACAATATTGCGTCGATATCGACGACAAATCTTGCACTTTGACAGAATCGCTGGCTTAATTTTGAGCCTGTGCAGGACACACAGTCCTAAATTGGCTTAATGGAGTAGGAGCAAGAATAGAGTCGCAGTAATGGCGACGAAGACGACGAGAGTGACGTCGACCGTCGTCACGTCGCATTTTCAGGGAGAGATTGCGATCGCTCGGTCGGAGACGCTTTCAAGGCGCGATTTACGAAGTAGAAATAAGTCTAGGAGCAATCCGTTATCTTGAGGTTTGGTAGAATGGCGGAGTCCACAAATGGTGGAATTAGGATTGACAAATTTAGCTGCCGTCCTCGTGGGATGTGGCTTCCATATCAGAAATAGCCGGTAATTTTCTTAGCTTTACTGGTACGAATTCAGTTGGACACTGAATACGACGGTAGACGATATTGTTAATTTTCCATCGTTTATCCTCTAGACACTGATTATAACCATCATTCTTCTTATATGAGGTCGTCAGAAGTAATTCTACACGGAATCTAATGAACCGTAAGCCTTGGACTGTCAAGCTGTTAGACTGTTAATTAAACATTAAATCTGTTTAAAAGCATATTATAGAAGTGATAGAAATAGGATACATTCTTTTTACCTTATTTTTTTTTCTTGAAATAGAATACATTTATTTAGTTTTCTTTCATCAATTATCATACTTCTCTATAATTAATCGTGCTATAAAAATGATCAGTTTCCAATTTCTTAACAACTGACTCGTTGTCATTTGAGTCTAGAAACAAAATATGAAACAAAAATGTGCAAAAAAAAATAGATTACAAAAGATACGCTCAGCTCTCCTAAGTTTCGCTTCTTCTTAATAACAGTTTGCTTTCTTGTTTGCAGACGAAAGCAAGATGAGGTGCAGACTCTCGAAGAAACGATACGGATGCGTTCGGAGAAACACAAAAAGGCTGGGGTCGAACTTAACGCCACATGTCACATATGCCTGAAAACCAAGTTTGCCGACGGCATCGGTCACATCTGCACCTACTGCAAAACCCGATGCTGCGCACGCTGCAGTGGAAAGGTCACTTTACGGTCAACCAAGGTAAGAGGGCATGAGAATGGAGCACGCGAATAAACGGCGAAGAATCGTAGGACCAGATTGATCGAGTTGTTGCGAGTATCTGTCCTGACGTGCCACTTTTCTTTTCGCGTATTATATCGCCGCACTCGGCATACCGTGAAGAAACCTTTCGAAGGCCTCGGCATAAAAAGATCGCACGGAAAATAAAAATAGAAAAATATCCATCGGCGCGTGTTATGCACGGCGATCAAGTTGATATTAACGCATCTGATGTAAATAATGTACTCGTCTGATGTAAATAATGTACCTCGTTAAACGATACATCTCGAGGGGTACAAGATATAATAGGAATATAAATCATTTTAGTAAAACAATTGAAAAGAAAAAAAGATATGCGTATAGATAGAAAAATGTTATTTTCCTATGCAAACAATCGTTATTCGGAGTAACATTTGTAAAGTGTGGAAAATAAACTCATCAGGCCCGCACTGTTCTTAGAGTGAACTTTTCATGAATGTATAAATATACAGAGAAAAAAAAGTATTGTTCTCTTGATTTTATCTTGAACTTTGGCGCAGTACTTTTTTTTTGTCTTTTTTATTTAGTTTGTTTTCTTAGCAAGTAAGTAGATAGATAAGTAATAAAATCAACTCGAGTTATCGAGTTTGCATTGTTCTCACGAGCAACTTATTGATTGATACTTTAATGAAGAGCAGGATTTTCAAAATCACAGTCGATTAAACGTAATTATACGGATACTTATTATTTCCTCTCTTATTATTTCCTTTTGAAAAAATTTGACATTACTGCAATGTACCGTTCTGTTCTGCAAATTAGCCGTCGAAACCTTTTTTTCGTAGAATTTCTCTTTTCCGTAGAATTTCTGTTTTTCTCACAGGACCTCAATAGCATAAACGTCAAATCCCTCGTTTCCGCTATAGAAATATCGCAATTACCTCATTATGGGCGCATGTATTGTACTTCGCGACGGCGGAGATAATGCAAGGAGATAACGCGTGATTTAACGGTAGGAGAGGGGCAAGAAAGGAAAGGGTAAATTTAACAACGTTATCAAATCACGACGAAACGAGAGGGAAACACCAGACGGTAGTAATACGAGGGTCGGGTAAATGTGTAAATTGGCCGCATGGAAACGATTAAGAGCAGACGCATTGTAAAAGATAACAATGCGATGCGTATCGTCCGGGGATATTTACCGGAATACATCAAAACAGTTGATCTCTAGTGACACGTCATCATCTTCATATTGGTACGTCAATTAACCCTTTATCGCGTATAGTTATGATATCCGTGGGCGTAATATCGTCATTAAAGAGCCACCACGCGAATACTCTGTCTCTTAATTTACGTCGGGGAGTACTGTTTCTATTCGCTTTTATACTCGCGTAATTTCGATTTTCCGGTTTTTTATCCACGGAAATGAAGGATTAACGACCAGTGTGGTGGGACGTAGCATGCAGCCTCGGAGAACGCGGTGAATGCCGGCGGGTGCACTTTTAAAACTTCGCAATTATCCACGCCACCACATTCCGGGATCCGCAGAGATTTTCGCAAACAGAGAGACTAACGCTCGTCGAATTTGCACCGGTATACCGTTCTAACGCGATTATCTTGCGCAAATATTATTCTTATCTCCGCATCGGGCTGGTTACGTTCCGTCCTCGCGCGGTATTACAATATCGATTTACCATGTTCGAATCGTAGCCTTTCCGCCGTGATCTTTGTGCTAATATAAATATATAAGAGTAGCATACGGAGAAAGATTTTATAGGTTGTCGCGCGCAGTGTAACCATTAACCGTATTACTATTTATTATCGTGTCACAACGTAAGAATGTGCGGTATGTTGCCATTTAAGTACGCCGTTGGAGATTCTATGGGTACTTATAGGCTCGTATATATAAGAGAAGCAGCTGTGATATATATATATATATAAAATATAAAGATTTAAATAAATAGAAATATAATATTAGATTTCTCCCTTATTATTTTTAGCTTGGAACCGATTTTATCGATTACCGTGTCTTCTGGCTTTATTTAATGACCCAGTTTCGTGACAGATAAATTGCGGATTTAATACAGTAATAATTACCGAAAGGAAATCTAGAGATTATTTCCGGGTACGCGCGCAAATTACACCGTTCGCGCGGCCGCTGTGTGTGATATTTCGCGCAGGACACCTCTTTACTGCGAACATGTAATAGCTTTTATCTTTCGCGAGAGCGTCGCTGCATCTTTCATCTCTTTCAGCGCCGGGGAGACAGAGAGCTCCATTTTCCGGATTATTAAAAGTAATCCGGGCGCTGATCAATGACGCTCGCTCGCTCGCGCGCCCGCGTAAAATTTAACGGCGCTCGGGCACGGAATGTCGGACGCGCATAAACGTAGTGAGGCATGGGGAGGGGGGGGG